AAACCCATTACTGAACATCTTTCTTCATCGTTTGGAAAAGGCCAAATAAAATCTATAAGAAGTTCTGTTTTGCCTAATTTGATTGATAGCAGTCACCAATTGGATAGAAAAAGTGCCTTTAAGGTTATCTATCGTACTTCAATGAACTTTTCGACCTTAATTCGAAGCGCTATTTACACACAGCCGAAGCTATGGGAATTTGAGAGAACACTCCTAGTCTTTGTATAAAAAAGAAGTTTATTCTGTGTTTGTCTCTTATCTACCGTAGGTAAATTCTAAATAAAACTCTTCCACCCCTTCTTATTCTTCATTTCTTTCGTATATTTATGATATAATATTTAAACTCTGATTATCTATTTACTTCACCTTTGATATTAAATAACTTTTATGATTAGATCTAATTTATTTATTGAATTTTTTAAATAAGCATACTACCTTCGTCATTCTTACCACCACCACCTGCATAAACTTCTTGTACTTTTGTTATCATTAATCTTATTATCATAATATTTGCAGTTAATATAATCATCGTTATTACTCACATTCAGAATATTTAACTTTTATTATTTTTTATCTACACACGTACTGTCATTGGTTAAAATTTTTAATATATAAAGCTATTTACATTAGAGAAAGGCTCGAAAAAGATATAAATGAATGCAGTATTGTTCGCTAATATGTCTTATTTTAATTTTAACAATGGGAATATTTAAAGATTTCTACAGATGACGATTTCCACTAAATCACTGCTATGCTGTGTTCAGCACCCCACACCGGTAGCCCATGATAAAGTCCTCACTGACACGCTAAAAAAAATTTTGCCTACTTCCCCAATCAATAGTGAGTGATCAAAGAAATTCGAGATCGAGAATATCCTTGTAGCTAATAAGGTAACTGACACTTAAACTCCCGAAGCTTCAAGCCATCCTATATTTCGCAAAGAACTCAAGCAGTGGTAAAAAAAAATACTGCTTTATCAAATTCAAACCAAATAAATACATATTGACTGCATTTTATTGTACTTCTCAGTGCTCATATGCTTATCTAAGTCTTAGATGGAGTCTGGGCAGCTAACTGTTTTGAACAACTCTTTTAATGATGTACTTTTCAACTCAAAAATCATGTGATTGGTAGTAGACAAGAAGACCTACAGTACTTCTTTCTCCTGCGGATATACATTTTGACAGTTTTGAATTCTTTGAATATCAGAAATAGGCTTCAGTTCAACCCATAATATAGCGATAATGTGACCTTAGAATATTATCTGTACAATTAGGTCACGATACAGGTAACACTGTAACGGTAGTGGACCAGAGATTTGATAAAGAACTGTTTGTTTGCAGTTTGGTATCTCTACACAGCCGAATTATGTACACCTTATCTCCAACTCACCATTTGCACACATCTTTGTGTTGTGCTATTTATGGCTTTCCTTCATATTGTGTTTCTTTGTGTTATTTTCATGTCTCCCATGGAATCTTTACAATGCTGCACTATTTTCTTTCTCAGACATCAAATATATCTCCTTGTTATTTGCTAACGTTATGCCCAAGAACGTCTCTTTATTTACTACTCATAGATCGTATCAGTAGCACACGCCACAACAAGAATAATGTGATACCAGTTACAAAGAGATATTGGAACAACAGCGGTGCAAATTAAAGTAGAGAAGTGCAAAAGTATAGTAGCGGCAATAAACAAACAAGTATGAACATAATCTGACATCAGTCACAGAATTTGATTTTTTTGATTTTTGATTTACAGCTTGATTCCACACTGTATTTTTGGTACAAGTATGGAATTTTCAGCATGGATATCGGTAGCCCATATTTTGCAGGCCGACCATAGATATCAGGTGTGCGCCGGCGTGGGCTCGAACCTCGGACCATGTGCATGATCGGCGAGAGTCCTAACCACTGTGCCACCGACGCACACACGAATGACTGGAGAACCAAGAAATACTGAACACCGCTTCCATCCTTCTTTGGAACTCTCCAACAGTTCGCACCTACCAGGGTTTGAACCTTGGACATTCTGGTTATAAGCCAAGCTCTAACTGATGTCAACTCGTTTTTAAGCTTGAAAAAAAATCAAATCGCTACAAACTAACTCTTGAAAATTAATCTAATGCATGTTAGTAACGGCAGGATGACGTTCCTTGTAGTTCAAATGAGAGATCACGACTAGAGGGTTCTGTTCCATAGTGAGTGATGACAAAAATTCGCCGATAACATTGGCAGGTGCCAGTCAAGCTAAAATCCCTAATGGATAGAAGTTGGTATTTATGGGGTCTCAGCGTCTGAATGATCTACGAGCTTGTCTCGTAACTAGAAGGTTCGGACCCCAATAATGCGTACTGTCTATGAGTCCCAAACTAGTATGAAACATCTGTCCAGAACTCCCTAGTTTTCAGTGTTCCTTAAATATAAATAAGGTTTCTGTCAAACAAGCTGGTTGTTAGAGAAACGTATCTAGCTAAAAGATTGAAAACAGCAATCTTCACATTTAGATCGATAGTCAGAGTAAATATGCTTGATATATTAACCACTAGCAGTTATTCAGAAATGTACAGTTGTTCCTATCCCTAGAAGAATTCACTTGTCAAGGCAATATGATATTAATTCATGATTATGTTAGTGAAATTAAAATGAGATAGAAGGAAAACAAGAAGTCATCATTTTAGACAGTATAATAAATTCCAACACTACCCGGTAAAATGAAAACAAAAATCAATAAATAATGCCAGTTTATACGCATTTTATAAGAGATGGATAGCGTCACTCAATAGCCTAGTTGATAAAAGTTTTGCGTTTGAAGCTATGGGTACTGGGTTGAAGTCTCATTGGAAACCACATCACTCACTGAGAGGGCAAGTACATGCAGTTGACGAATCTCAAGTGTTAACCGCCAGCGAATAAAAACCGTTGAGTTCTTATTCCTGATAATATTTAGCCATTTAACGTACAAGCCCATTTATAAAAAGGAAGCCTATCAACGTAGTCAGATATATCAGCCGTTACCCATATATACGGATAAACAATTTCTGTTTTTAATTCAGACTTGATTTCCCTGTTGACTGATGGAACCGAAGCGTCCAGTCTCTCTTGACATGTCCGCACTTAGTACACGGGCGCATCGACAATATCTAAGGATGAGCTTGAAGAAATTTGGTGGATGATGACTGAGAGTGAAGTTGAAGATGAGTGTTTCGTCCCACTTAGGACTCATCGTCTGAATGCACCTACATTTCCTAGTGAGTGATGCTGCGCCCAGTGAGACTTCAATCCAGTACCCATAGTTTCAATCGTCGTCAGTATGCTAGAAAAGCTACCTCTTGTTCATGATTTCCTCAGAAGTCTTGGTTACTACCATTTCATATTCGTTTCTCCATAATTGATCTTTGCATAGAATGAGCGATCTAAGTTTATTTACTGTTAGATATTTTCAACACTCTACTATCAAAAATGATACAGTTAGCAAGCACACAAGTCTCAACACTTGTTTGTTTGTTTGTTTGTTAATTGATGGTACTACACTTTTGCATTTCTATACTTTAATTCGCACCACCGTTGTTCCAATATCTCTTTGTAACTGATATCACATTGTTATTGTCATCATTATCATTACCTGTATCCCCACCTAGCTGTATAGATAATATTCTGTGCTCACAGTATCTAATTTCACTTTACTAAAACTCTGCTATGCACTATACTATAGAGTGAATTGAAGCCAATTGCTGATATCTAAAGAATCCAAAATTATCAAAATGTAAATCCGTAGGAAAAAGAAGCAAACTGGGTCATCTTGTCTACCACCACTTACATGATTTCTGAGTTGAGCAATACATCATTAAAACAGCCATTGAAATCGACTAGTTACTTCAGTTTGATATAGGACTAGGAGAAGTGAATGAGCACTGAGAAGTACGATAAAATGCAGTCGATATATTTATTTGGTTCAAATTTAGTAAAGCAGTATTTTTCCATTCTTTTGAGTTGCTTGTGGAACATAGGGTTATTGGAGCTTCTCGATTGTCAGTGGCTGTGGCGTTGTTTTCCTTAGGTCTATCTTCTCTCCCGAATTTCCATGATCACTTACTGTCGGCTAGTAGAGAAGGTACGATTTAGTAGCGTGTCGGTGAGGTCTCATATCGTGGCCCACTTATGTGGTTGGTGAACACATTATAACAGTGATTTAGTGGAAATTGTCATCCGCACACATAGCTAACAACAAGTTCAGCTAAGAATCGCATCTATTCATCATTTGAGTATTTCTCAGAGATTCCGCGCTTAACAATAAATAACTGAAAAATTTAGCTTTGATAAATTAGTGAAAACGTCTATCAATATCAATGGAGAATGATTATCAACCGAGAAAATCAAGGCTCACTACTAAAGATTAGAAATAATTATTAGGTAAAATCGTGAAATCATTTGTTTAAATTAGTTTCAATTTACCACTGACTGGCACATTTTTTCTTCACGTTTCCCAGTGGAACATAGGGCTTCAAGCTAGACACCTGAAGTTTCGGTAACATGGGGTTGCTAGCCTCATGCCCAACCTTTCCTCTTTACCAGCATTATTTCTGGCTTAGCGAGGTAAAGGAATGGGTCGGTTGCCGGGGATCGAACCCCGTACCGACGCACTGGCACATACCATACCTAAATACATGATCTCTGTTGACATATCAGCTCCCAGTATGAACGCTGCGATGAATCACAGTTGGAACGCCATCACGCCACCAGTGAGGATGCGGACACATCCAACTTACAATTACCAGATGAAACTAAATACGCCTCCTGAATCCCACTGCTAGTCACCATCTGTCCAATAATTACCTGTATTTATTTAAATAATTACACAATCAAATAACCGTATCTCACATTGTCATTCGCCTAACCATACAGAAATATTCTGAATACCTTAGATGGGTCAACCAGTCAGTCATTCTTCAAACAATAAAAAAATTTAAATAAGTAAATAAATCGATAAATACTTACCACATTTTGTATGTAATTGTTGAATTCTCTTTTAGTCATTCTTGGTGCTTGTTTTAGAAATGGCACTGATTTAACATTGAAAGATGATTGATACATATTAGGATCAACTGGGTTGTATTGATTTGGTGAAACTCCACTCTATAAATATGGATACAAAGTAAAGTATCAGATTTTCACCAGAACACAGGATATAAGTAGTGCAACAGCATTTTACTGTGTTCTCTTCAGTCTTATCTTTTGTCTGGCTCTATAACTGCAGATAAGTTTTCAGTTTCTTCCTACACGATCACCACTGGCATGTCATCCTAGAACACCTAACTCATTGCCTCCACTCAATGGCCTATGGTGTGGTGTCACCCATCAGTAGTCCCTCAGCGTATTTCTTATACATTCCTCTGTTCCCTTCAGCATATTCTTTAGGCAGTAGGTTCCCAATTGGTTTGTTGGCCATTTGACCCCCAGTATCCAGCGATGAGGGAACCTGTTGACGGAAGTTTGCGGTAGCCTGTTGGAAGTGATTTTGGTGACGGCCCATGTCTTTGAACGACATAAGCATGTTTCGCTTTATTACTAACATCACTGTTAAAATATTTAGTTTATATACAACTAACTATATGTATGTTGAAGTAAAAACTCTATGTAACTAGGATTCATTGACATCAGTTAAATTTTTCTTTAAGTATCACGTGACTATAGACTACTTTCATATTAATTAAGTAGTCTCATCATCACCTTTGTAAAGCAATATTTATATACCATATTAGAAACATATGTATCCAAAATGTCATTAAGACAAAATATTTGAAATTCAGCTTCTTTTAACATTAGAAATTGTTTTGTTTGTTTTAGCAAGTGAGTACATCTCACATATAACTGACTACTGAAGCAGTCTGACTATTAGTAAAATAATTCTCCTAATTCTTACTAAATTAATTTAGGATTTCATCATGAACTGGTATCGGTTAGAGGACGATTGGAAAACCTGGGAGTACTGGATAGCTGTTTTGCCATAGTTTGGGACTCTCTACCTGGGTTCTAGTGGAAAGTCATGACCAGTGGGATACAACAGGTTAGGTGTGAGGAAAAATACTCTCCAGCGAAGACATTCTATAGTGGTCGTGGTATATCATGAATTGGCAGACGTTAGGATGCATAGGCGAGCCATTGAATCGGATCCCAGTGGCTGAATTGTCTACGAGCTCGCCTTATGATCAGGAGATCGTGGGGTCAAACCCCGGTGGGTGCGTACTGCAGACAGCCCCAAACTAAGACGGGACCGCTAGCTGTCCAGTACTCTCTGCTAGTTTTCCAATAGTCCTCTAACCGATGTCAGCTCATGATAAAATCCTGTAACTAATTTTGCTCACCCGTACTTGTTTTGTAACTGAGAATTAGTTTAATCTGTACAGTCTCCTGACGACACTGTTGGGATATTTTTAAGTTTCTGATATGTCATTACTGTTTTGCTGTCCTTGGGACATTTTGTGACTGTAAAGAACTCAAGGAAGTTTTTCTCAGTCATGCAGTAGAATGCAAAGATTGATTTCTTGAGTTCAGACCGTAACACATGAGTGGATTTCTGGTTACATCCTGAATTAGATTACATTAAACTCTCTCTCAAAACAATTACATTCTTTCCACCACAAAATAGTGATAATAGGATCCACCACTGACACAATATGAATTGTACACTTTCTAAAATTCCTAGTGAGAGAAATAAAAACTGTCCAATGCTCTTATGTTTCAAGCTCTTTTTTAACTGATTTTGAATTGTGACAAACACCTTTCATAAAACCTGTCAGATTCTCAAAAAATCGATAGAATGAAAAAAAAATATTTTTCAAAAAAAGAGTATAAAAGCTTACTTGATTAGTCAATTGAAGTGTTTTACGTTCAGTTTCAGAAAATTTCCCCTTGTTTGCATATTTTGGTGATAATAGTTCATCAATACTTGACTTGGCATTTGTAAGCCTTGGACCATTTTGTGTAGGTACCTGTGATGTATATGGTGTTTTCATTTACATGAAAACAGAAATTTTCTCAGGATATTTTTCAAAAATAATTTATTGTTTACTAAAAATGAGTACTTCAAAATAAACATGCATTTATTTAAGGCCCCCTAAAAGTATGTTTGAAAGATGGAAAAATTTGTGTATACAATTCTTTGGTTATTATTACCAAAGTAATTTAGCGTTGAGAGGTTAATAAAATACAAATGATGTGAATATTTGTTTAATCTGTAGACAAAACGATATTAGATGCAGAAAAGGAGATTAGATTAGAAGTGATGCTAATGATAAGTAAACCATTTTGTCTTCTAGTGGTCTACTTATCACTGGCATCACTTTTAATCTAATTTCAGAAGTGAAATTGGCCAAGTTAAACTTTGAGCACCACTAACTACCAATGGAGTGCGACCTCATCAGTGACCTGGAAGCGCCCACCGAACAAGTTAGTGAAATCCGGCAGACAATGTTGTCATCATCAATAAAATATGCTAATCGAAGTGTTATGTTATTAAGTGAGATATATGGCAAGTTTCAGTTTAGGTTTTGGGAAAGATGAAGTTACGCTTTAGGCCATAGACAAGTTAGAGTTAGCTTAACCTAATAAAGGCGATATTGGGATTGGCTCGAGTCAGATTACAGTTAGTTAAGGGATACTTTCACGTTAGGGTTAGTTTCAGGAAAGATTAGGGTTATTGTTAGGGTTAGAAGACCTAAATAATTGCATGTATAGAATGTGGTTAAATTACTCTGTTGATATAGGAATAGAACTTGTGCACTGCGGTAGGGTATATTTCCATTGTGGGTAAAATTTATTTCGATAAAGTCTCACGGTATGATACAGTAATATTTACTGATGACCACGTTTCGAGCACAATTTATTGCTCAGAAAATATTACTGTATTACAATATGAAACTTAATCAAAATAAACTTTAACCCACAATGGCATTATACTTTGTTGATACTCCAACCTAAAGCTGAGGGCTACTTTTATCACATATTAGAAAAATGTATCCTGTATAACACTTTTATACAGTTTTTATGCAATTTTTTCATAATCGTATGTGTTCCATACACAAAAATGCCTACTTCACATGATTGATGCGTTTGAGGTCATTTGCTAGTCGATTGTTAGTGGTGCTTAAAGTTTACCTTTGCCAGGAAATTTCCCACAAACTGGAAGACAAACAAGTGAAAAGCAACAAGTTGGATGAAGAAGCATTAAAGATAAGACAAAGATAGGTGAACATAGGGAAAACAGAGGTGATGAAGATTCTTGGACAACAGCAACATCAACAACAACAGACAACAATCAGGTCTACAATCAAGTTTGTGTGGAGATCAACAGCAATCAAGATAAAAAAATAAGATCCGGATTTTCAGTTCCAATGTGAAATCAGTCTATCTACCAGACGGATCAGGACTTGGCCAGCGCGTCACGAAGGCCACTTCGAACAAACTACAGACCTTCATCAATAGCTGTCTTCGCTCAGTACTACTCAATATCAGATGGCCGGCCAGAAAATATCAACAACAGAGATCTCTGGGAGCGAACCAACCCAGCAGGAACCAACTGTGCAACAAATGTGTAGGAGGAAATGGAGATGGACTGACCATACTGTGAGAAAGCAAACCATCATCAATTGACATCCCACGCCAGATCATCGGTCAAGTGGAAGGCGAATGGGAAGCGGAGATTTGGTCATCAGTGTGAGGGTGACATAGAGGAGGTGATGAGAAGAGGCGATGAATGCATGTGAGCAGATGTGGAGCCAGGTGAAAACTTTTGTGGAGAACCGAACGCAATGCAGACGTGTGGTTGAAGCCCTATAATCCTCTAGGAACTAAAGGAGACAACAACAATAATAATTCGTCTTCTAGATTATATGTAATTCGTTAAATTACTTTCTATTTTAAAGCCTTAGCTGGACAGTGATAACTAATTAATTCTTGGAATACAGTTAGTTGTCCAGGGAACTAATATCAAATTAGTGATATCCTGAGAAAAAAGTAAGAGTGTGCAATGATCATCTTTTGAAGGATTGATCTTCCACATCTACATCCATGATCCCTTGAGTAGAACATAGGACCTCAGTAACACAATCCCATTTCACACTGTTCTCTGAACTCCTTTTTATAGCTGACTCCACAATTACCCACAAGCTTTCATTATTCTTATTATACGACCCCTCCATATCACAGTCAGGCGCCCACCTCATTGCCTTCACTTGAGGGCCATTCTAGAGCATGATGTCACTCAACGGTCTCCTCAGAGTATGTTCAATCCATTTTTTCTATTTTCTTCGGTATGTTTATTGGCCGATAAGTTCTTCGTTGGTTAGTTGCCAAAGTTTCATGTTGTTTGTTCTTACTGGCCGACCATCTGAGAATCAGTATCGAGCATTGGGTTTAGATGTTGATGAATGTGTGCAGCACACTGGGAATGCTTTTGGTGATGCGTTAAGTCTCTGGACCAGATGGAACCACTGACTGATTTGATATTGGTGGTAATGAGGATCTTGTTTCTCATGCTTATTGGAGCTGATTTGCACACTGATCTCCAGTTAATGAAGGTCTATCTTGTCTTCTCGGCCCTGCATGTAGTTGAATTGTCGCTGACTTGATAAGTTAAAGAAGAAACTCCCTTCAGATTTCTCCAGTTGACAGATAGTAACTGGTGCTTCTTGTTGTTGGCTGTTGCATACCTTCATCACCTCTGTCTTCTTTGTATTCAGCTGAAGTCCTGTATTCTCCGTCTCTTCTGAAAATTTATGTATTTTCGCCTGTAGATCTTCAGCTTTTTGTGACATTGGGTATAACTCATCCACGAAGTCCAGATCTTCTAGTCTCTTCTTGTCTCTCCAACGTATGACCATCTTCTCACTCCCCACAGTATGTTGTGTGATTCAGTTCACCATAATCATAAATATCATCGGTGATCCCATTTCATCTTTTAATTATCCACTTAATTTTATAATGGAAAAGTCGCATTTTCATAATCCACCTTTTCAAGTTGTTGAAATTCATTCTATTTTAACATAAGCTGGAGCCTTCATCACGGATGTCAAGTCTTTCAGCATATTGCATGTTACTTCAGAGCATATATATATAATTATTTCATGTTTATTTAATTCAATTGTAGATTTTTCCGTCGACTGATTGGATCAAAGTGCTGTTTTTCAGGTTGACATGTCGGCTAGAAAGTCTAAAATTGAATTAATATGACCCGCTGCACAAGAGATGGCTCTCGTGGCCTAAGTGGTCTAGCGGATAACACTTTGGTGTCTGAAACTATGGGCGATGAGTTCGAGCCTCGGTGGGAACATCATCACTCACTGCTGAGTGCAGAAACATCCAGATGACGAGCCCCAAATAGGATGAAATGCACTTTATCTTGGATTCCATCGCTAGTCACCATGCACCAATTCACTTCTTATTGCATGTTTAGTTAAAATTTAAGTCACAAGTGATAGCCTTTGCCTATGAAGTTAAATTACGCAGTTATCAGATTCGATGACTTATGATTGAGAACACAATTAGATTGTGTTCATTTAAGCTGAAGTCTATATTTATATGTGTATATAATTTAGAATTAGAGCTCATCCGAAGTCATAGCAAAAACCAGAATAACTGTAATGAAATGCCTATGTGTCTAGCATCTAGAGTTAGTAGCTTAACTGATACAGTGCCATACTAATACCTCCGAGGTTTCTGATGCAAACTCTGCAAGCGAATTAGATCTTCTTCTCATGTACAAGCATCACTCATTACATCATTATCATCAGTTTGTCAGTCTAAAAATATCTCAGGTAAACTGAATTCACCATCTACACAATTCGAGTGGTAAAATTTCCCCGTAGTTTCCTCTGGAAACCAAGTTATTCAGTTCAAAATATATGATCTTCTTGTTAACATAAATGTTAATCAAGAAAAAAGCATATATGCATAAAACCTAATATACTACTGATAGACTAAGATGAGTAGTTGTGTACCACTCGTGCACCAACCAGTAGGGCTTGCTAACCAGATAATCGAATCGATCTAAACACCGCTTGACGGCGATTTCGCTCATTTTGGACCGGACTCATCAGCAGTGCACTTGGTGTGACTCAGTCCAGAGAGTCGAATCAGTTCAGATGAGTGGTATACAACTACTCATCTCAATCAATTAGCAGTATATAGTTTTATGCCAATTTTTGATTCCCAGTTTTTAAATATGAACATCTATATTCTAAACTTATGCTTCACTGATAATGTTGAAGGTATGAAGGAAAGCTTCACAATCATTCTGGTTGACGAGACGCAAATAAACTACAATTTATTTCAAGTTTAATCATGGATCGATATCAGTTAGGGAAGCATTGGAAGTCCAGAAAGCAGTGGACATCTGTTTTTCCTGATTTGTGACCCTTCATCAGTACGCACGCACCAGGATTATAAACAAGGACCTTTTGGTCACAAGGTGAGCTTGTTGGCTATTCAGCAACTGGAATCCGATCCAACAGCCCAGGAATTCTAACTTTCACTAATTTGTGATTTGAGCGCGACTGGCACCAACTAATGTCAAAGGCGAGTATTTGTCATCACACTGAACCTGCTTGACCCCACTGGTCACGACTTCTCACTAAAACGTCATGTAACTTTGCCCTGTAGCCGGTCAGATTAATTTCCAGGTGTTAACTTGTAGAGATTTCATTTTGTTTCAGCTATGCATTACTCCCCCGTGCTAGTTTTCAATGCTACTGCAAATGACATCAATCCATGATCATATAAGTTAAACCAATCAAATCTCAAAATAATTATCAGTCATGTATTCATGTATTAACTTAGCCTTAAAGCATCTTTTTTTTAAAACAATACCAAACTTACCAGTCTAGCCATGTAACCAACTTTGATCGGTTTACATCTTGATTCATTGCTTGTATCGAAACGTCCTTTTGACTCGACTACAGTAGATCTTTCATGAAACTTGGCATAGTTATATACACCTGGTCCAACATAGATAGTCTGAAATGAAGTGAAAACAAAATGTAGATTTCTCTCTCCTAAGGTATATACATATATATATATATATATATGTATAAATGATCTAATGAACCACTGTGAACATAGAGTGTTTGGAAGCTATTTTATATGATTTCTCTTCAAATTCTGTAATTGAATTTATCTACTGAACTTTCATTACATCAAAACCAGGGGTCGGCAGAAGTAACTAGCACTCAGAAATCTTCTGATTGTTTTACGTTATCACTTTTGAAAAAAGTTGTTTCTAGATCTCGAGCTATTATAGTAACAGATATGAAACTCATATTGTGGTGAGAGCAAGCTGCTAGCCAATTGGTAGACATTAATTTACGTCAATGTCTAGGTCACTAATATTGACCGTGAGAAAATATGAACAAGGCTAATTCAACAACCAATCACAGCAGACTTAACGTGTGCAAATAAGATTCGCAGATATATGGCTTAGCTTTCCGAGAAACCGGAAACAGCCAATCAGAAGACGGTGTTTGTCTGCTTGAATAAGCTATAATAGTGTACATGAAATATATATAAATACGTGCTGATTTCCGTAATAAAACGATCTGTTGCCGGCCCTTGTCTTCTGTTGTTACAATATTATTCATCTGTGGTGCTCCGAGCGCCATATCTTCACAGCATTCACTTCTCTGCCATTGTGGTGTGTACTACTGAAAAGATTTATCAATAGTATATGGACGTAGATTGATAGAAGAAGTAACCAAAATTGAAAACAATACTTTAAGACAATGTCTTCACAAGTAGAAGTATTTCTCCCTCAAATCTAGATTTAGCTCACGTTGTGATCAGGGAACAGTCTCTCTGAACAACTTTTTATCTCAAGGTTTAATCTTTGGATAACCAATCCATTGACCTAACCGACCTTTAATGTGGCTAGAAATATGTGAATATGGTGGGTTTTTCTTTAACAAAATAGGCCTCTACCATGTGTCCTGTCTTCATACGCCACATCATTCCTGTGAATCTGCAATACTGCTTGCCACAATCTTTCATTTCTCCTCTTCCCCGTCTAATGATTTCTTTCATACCAACCTCAGAGACTCAACCTGTTGTTCTGTACACGGTTTCAACTCGACATCCTGGTCTGTGATGTCAGTCCAATGTCTTCTGAGTGTATGCCCGATCCACCCCCATTTCATTCCTTCTGAATATTTGTAAGAACGGCTTCAGCCTGCCGATGTCTAACTTCCAGATGTTACTTTAGCATGCATAATGTATGTTCCCATCGCAAGTCAACTGCTTCCAGTGAGATATATGGTGTCAGTAAAGTAATTCTACATATATACATAAGTGTTCTATATTTCATCATAATACTAACACCTATCAGTTGATCGAATATATATATATATGTAGGATGCAGCAGGTCGGATGTGAGGACAAATACTCGCCGAAGACATTGGCTAGCGGTTGCGCTATATCGTGAATTGGTAGAAGTTAGAATTCATGGGCTGGCCATTGGATCGGGTCACAGTGGCTTAATGGTATACGAGCTTGCCTTGTAACCAGAAGGCCCTGGGTTCGAACCCTGTCGGTGGGTGCGTACTGCTGAAGAGTCCCAAACTAGAACGAAACAGCTGTCCAGTACTCCCAGGATTTCCAATGGTTCTCTAACTAATGTCAGCTCATGATGAAATCCTGTAACCAATTGTAAAATATTTTTGTTTTTGCATGTGTGTATTGACAATGTGTTTAGTTGAGTTTGTTTTGAAGGTCATTCTGACCTAGGATGCCTTGGTGTGTGATTCTTGTGGACAGAGCACTTGATCCCACCTCCTCGAAAATATTCTCCTTGATTCTAAGGTACTGTTTACAGTTGAACTTTAGTTAAGTAATTTTTTTTCTTACAGTACTTGTTTTATATTTAGAAACATACATTACCTGTATAGTTTTAACGATAAAAGACAAGGGTCAGGCAACAGATTGTTTATTGAGAAAATCAAAAGGTATGTATAGATTTCTGTGTACATTATTGTTAGCGGAGAAGCAACCTCTTCTGATTGGTTGTTTTCTTGCTGAAGGTTATTCTGTCATCTCTTTGTGACCGTTTCTCAAGAAAAATCAAGCCATTTATCTGAGGATCATATTTTCACACTTTAACTGAGCTGTGATTGACTGGTGATTTTCTTGAGGTAGAGCTTTGTTATTGTTTTTATCATGAGCCTGATTCAGGACGTGAACATTGACGTAAATGGCCGTCTACAATTTTTGGCTTGCAACCCACTCTCACCACGGCGCTGTTGAGATAATTTTGAGTCTGATGTTATTATTGTTTAAAATAGCCACTGAAATGTTAGAGAATAATCGTCTTTTCCCTGAGTTTGGAAATTTTTGTGATAGCGCGTGTCTCAACGACGTTTTGTCACATTTATACAGTAGAACGTAGAGATCAGTTTTTTGCATTCAGACCACAAAGGAATAAATATGGTCACTGCAACCCTAGCCATAATGAATTCGATGCATTGGATGGGAGAACCATTCAACTTTTACCATTTTTTCATAGCTTTTAATATTTAAATTGTTTCATCTCAGATTTTTGATTGTGCAGCTTGGGCTTTCACTGTGCGTCGGTGGCACAGTGGTTAGGACTCTCACCGACCATGCACATGGTCCGAAGTTTGATCCCCTGCCAACGCACACCTGATATCTATGGTCGGTCTGCGAAATTCGGGCTACCGATATCCATGCTGAAAATTCCATACTTGTACCAAAAATACAGTGTGGAATCAAGCTGTAATCAAAAATATAAAAAGAATAAATAAAAAGTTCTGATGCAGACTTTTTTCATGAATCAATATCAGTTAGGTTTTCATCACTGAAAACCCGGGAACCCTCGAAATCTGTGCCATACTAGTTTGGGAATTTTCAGAAGTAGTCAACGGCATGTCCTCATAACCTGGTGTTTGTCATCGGTTCAACCCTTGGTGTAAGCGTAGGTACACATGCATGAAGAGTTTCAAATTAGGATGAGAGACTTGTCCAATACACCCCCAGTTTTCATTAGTCCTCTAACTGATATCAGTTTATTAATTTAGCCTGAAATCAATAAAATCCCAAGAAATCAACACATTTTCATTTTTCCTATTTGATAAAATTTGACCAGGACTTTCTCCCTGAAAAGAAAATTAATTTGCCAACTTACATCTGCATGAAAATGACGATTTACATTTGGAGCTTTTGTAAAAGATTGTTGACATTTTGATAATTTTGGTTTCACATTGTACTCCTGATACTTTTCGTAAGTGCCAGGTGCTGGTGTTATTGTCTGAAAGTAGAAATTATTGATGTTAGAGGTATTTTCAAATAAAACTCTGATGAAGCTGTGGCTTACATAGCGCAACCTTCAGAAAACAGATCTTATTTTGGGATTTTTTCTTAAACGCACTGGGATTATTTTAAGTAATTTATAATGATTCAGTCTGACTCGGCGTTTAAATTATTCCAAGAAATTCGTAACACCTACGGTATGGAAACTTATAAAATTCTAAATGTACTGGAATCAAATATTCTACTATTTGCATAACAAGTATTTGTGTTTTTGATGTCTGTAAACCGTCTAGGCATTTTCTTTAAACCTGGTAATAGATATAAGCTATTTTGAATGCCATAATCACCTGCAATAATAATATGTTGAATAAAATCGTCTTAATAGTCATAAAGTCTCTCTAAGAACAAAGTCGTGAAATCTAGTTATAGGATGATTTCCATTTCTGTGAGAAAGATTCCGCGATATTCAGAAGGATAGTATCTTGATGATTTAGGCCCGCGAACATCCAGTTTAGATTCTTTTATTTACATTTTATACAAGAGTATTTGCAGTGGCTGGGGTTTTCGAAAGCATAGCAGATTTTGATTGGCTGACTGAATGGAATTTAAGCATGAGGCCAGTTGTTGTATTTAATTAACTCTGTTAATCCGGACTGCTGTTGAAATTAAGGAGATTAGACTGGAAATAATACAGTTAAGCTAGAGAAAATATCTTGAAACTACTATAAGTAATAGTCTAACTTAATAATGCCAAGTGACTGAAGACAGTCAGCAAGAAGTACAGAAATCTAGAGTACGTCCATCTCTCTATGATTTCACATAGAAACTGTCCATAAGCTCAAAAAATTTCTGTGACTTTTCAAATTAGATGCACTTTTTGATGTGAAGTATCCTACTTTTGTCAAACTAATTGAGAGAATTAGATCAACGCTTGGTAGTACACAGCATGACAGTATTCGCCTTCCTGTTGGCTATCAGCTTACTTCCAATCCTTCCTAGAAGAAAAATAAATTTTTTATTTATTTATTTGTTGTTCCCTTGGGCTCCAAGTGGAACATAGGGCTTTAACAATACACCTCAACTTTGTTCTATTTTCTGCCATTTTCTTCAGCTGGTTAGACCCACGATTGCCCAATCCGTCTCATATGCTCCTCCCCACATTATCTCCTCAATGTCACCCTAGCACCAACGACCCACTCGTCGCATCCCATTCGGATTCCACTCGAGCGATGACCTGCATTGCGCACGATGTCATTCGATGGCCGCCTTAATGTATGCCCGATCCATCTATCTCCACTTTCTCCTGCTGGGAATCCTTTTCGTGACATACATGCAGTGCAAGTTTCTGAACCGTATAGAAGGACCGACTTGATATTGGTGTTGAAAATGCGAATCTTGTTCCTTATGCTAAGTATAGAAGATTTCCAAACTGGTTTCAGGTTGATGAAGGCATATCTCGTCTTTCCGATTCTGACTAGCTAGCTGGCTGGTGTTGATATCTTGATCCGTGCCGACTGCCTGTAGCTGAAACGATGCTTCCTAGATAAGTGAAGGGGGTAACCTCTGTTTAATCTCTCCGTGGATGGTGATTGGAGCTGGTTGTTGTTGATGTTAGTTGGTTATCTTCATGAACTCCGTCTTCTCTTAGTTCACCTGCAGTGCTGTCTTTGCCGGCCGCCAGTCTCTTCTGCCAGTTTGTTGCCTTTCTCCAACAAGTCTTCGAGTTTTGTGACATTAGACATACATAATCTGCAAAGTCCAGCTCATACAGAGTCTTCTTATCGGTCATTCTAACGTATTCCAACGTATTCTTCCCATTTCCCACGCACAGTCTGACACATAACCCACTCCACCACAACTAAGAATATCACCGTAGGTGATAATAGGCAGGCTGTCAGTCTTGTCTTACTCCTGTATTCACTTCGAACGCCTGAGTTTTCCATTAAGGATCATCTAACAGGTGGCAGGCATTTTCATATTTTCACAGCTTTAGAATGAGGTTGATAAAGACTTGGGCATTGCACACTGTTATCTTGAAGGAGTTCCCAAATTACTTCTCGGTCCACGCTGTCTGGTGAAGGCCATTTTGAAGTCGACAAAGTTAATATAGAGTGAGATTTGACTGTCATTCTATGCTTTGTTCTGTGATGACGATGTGTAGAGTTACGATTTGATCAGCACACGACTTGCCTTTCCTGAATCCAGCTTGTTCCATGAGGTGGGTGGAGTTCTGCATCCAGCCGCGAAGCAGTAGGGCGTGATAGTACGACTCCAATAATATTTAAGAATGGTAGCGATGAGTTATTGACTAGATATTAACTAATGTATGAGAACCTCAGATAGTTCCGTCGTCTAGGTACACACTGGTCGCCATCCCATATTATATATAAGGAAGAAAACAAATCTGAATGTGGTAACCACAGAGAGATCAGTATGAATAAAATAGTATCTAAAGTTCTAGGTCCAGAACGATGCTTGGACTAGATACAGTTCCGTAAAAATAAAAACAAATCCGATAAATCCTGGTAGATCACTCTCCAGAGAAGAATACATTGATCATGTCTTCATCCTTTCGCGTATTCTGGAAAGTAGCTACGCTTGATGTAGGCTAAAACTTGCCATATTTCTTAATATGAAGGCATTATGTGACTCTGGTGTTTTTGCAATGTGTGACTGTAAATAGAATCCTGAGAAAATATACTCTTTTAATCAAGACATTTTATTCGAACCCAAAGATACACATTAGAGCTTATTGAGAGTTGTTATATGGAGGATAGACAACCAGTATCCCTCATCAATACTCAACGTCAACATACGTATTCGACTCCAGCTGACTTTTGTGTCTTATTAATTCACTTGTTTCCAAGAGAAAGTCGTGCTGATCTAGAGTCTTTGTTTCGCATAGACGTTAATGAAACACAGTATTCGGGCGGAATTCCTTGCCTTTGTCGAATATAAGATTATGCTGCAAGAATAATCTGCACAGACCTCTAGTTTAATTAACAGGTAGTGAAATCGTTGAATATGTCGACTCCTTCACTTCACTTCAATTAGTTGTATCTGGTTACTGGTTACTTATAAGATCTCAACATGAGTTCATAAATTATTTGCCGACTTGCACCATCGTCATCATCATCATCTGAAGGTCATCTGTACACTTCACATAACTGATCGTTCTTTCTAAAATTTTTCATCCCCCCTTGACATCGCATTACACTTCTCACCTCTATTTTAATTGTACTTCTCTGACGAAGCATATTAACGTGAAGTGAGGCACTTTGGGGGGAATTTATACATTGACATGTCAGTCAGTCAGTCATTCACTAATTAGCACAATGAAAATGTGGTCGGTAATATTGTAGCGAGGTTAGAATAACAAGTAATGACAGGAAAGTTATAGAAATAACCACCTTGGAGTTTCATTATCCCAGAAAATCCTCATTTACATTTGTATTACACTTAGTTAAATAATTGATATCAGTTAGAAAATCATTGTAAAACCAGTAAGGAGTACTGGGCAGCTGTTTCATCCTGGTTTCGGATTCTGCGCCCGGTACTATCAAGTACTCCCTGGTTTTCAATGGTCCTTATCCTTACAGACTAACTACTGAAAATAATTCTGATACTTGCCACTGACTAGGTACAAAGTCGCCTGCTGTTCTGGTGAGAAGTCGTTGCCAGTATGGTCAATCCAGTCGGGAATGAAAACATTATTTGGTAGTTACGCTAAAGACCACGAACTGGTAAGAGTTAGAATTTGTAGATCACTGAGTCGGATTCCAGTGGCTAAATCGGCTACAAGCTTGACTTGTGACAGAAAGGTCGTGGATACGAACCCCGGTAGGTGTGTACTGCTAATGAGTCCCGAACTAGGAGGAAACAGCTGTCAAGTACACCCTAGTTTTCAGTGGTTTGGTTATGGACTGATATCAGTTAGAGAACCATTGAAAACCATCAGGTCGTAGTGGACAGTTGTTTTGTCCTAGTCTGAGACTACTGAGTAGTACACACACACCCAGGACACCACTGGAGATCGAACCAAGGATCTTTACGTTAGAAGGCAAGTTCGTTGACCATTCAGCCCCTGAGATGCAACAATAAAATTATTTATAAAAGCTTTATTCTAAACAGTTTTTATATATAATGTACGGAATTTTCAACGGAATTTATTGCGTGCTATTTTCTTTTCATCCAGCATCCTTAAATAAAACAATAGATCGTATGACACAGTGCTATCTGACCTGAAGCATAAACTAATCACTTATGATGATATCTTTTCTGTATCTTCTTCGAAAAATGCACGACATTTGAATGAATGCCGGTTATAAAATCTTCTGGAATACATTTTGAGAATCAACGACACAACTCAGGAACAGATATCTCATGTATTGAGATACCTTGCCACCTAGGCACAGGCTTTTCCTCAAGTTTAGTAGAAGCCAATAGGCGAAACATCTGAAATACTCGCCAGGGTAGATAATATGAACAAGAAAGAAAAACTATATTCAAGATACTGGTTGGGGGGGTTTCAGTAGCACAAATTTTAAGCACGCCGCCAATGGCACTCTATCAATGCTATATAAGAATAAAACTTGTGCACTCTGGTAGAGTGTAATTCCATTGTGGGTAAATTTTGTTTTGATAAAGTCTCACAGTGTTATACAGTAATGTTTACTGATGCCACCACGTTTCGAGCACAATTTATTGCCACTCATAATCATATCAAGGTACTCACACGACTTCCTAACTTCATTTATATGGTTCCAATATTTTTCACTTGATTTTCACTTGATTTGATTGGTAGTAGTATTTTCCATATTTTGGGTATGAGTGATGAATCATTCCTATTGCATGTGTTTGGTGTAGACTCGATGAAACAGCCAGGATTCAGTAATCAATCTCTCTCGCTGTCCACCTACCTATATTACTTTTTAAAATTTTAACCCTCTCTCACCCTATTGTGGCATTTAAACTTACAAACTCACTCAGGTAGGACAAGCTCTGTAGGTTAAAGGACCCAGTTGACCCAATTAGACAAAATAATATAATTTACAAAATACCCTGCAATGACTCTGAGTTAGGTCAACTACATAGGTCAAAACACATATTATATGGATACATATCACCAAGAACAGACTGTCAAACAAACACACATATTATATGGATACATATCACCTACAAACTTAATCAGGGACAAGCTCTGTAGGTTAAAGGACCCTGTTGACTCAATTAAACCAAAAAATTATATAATTTACAAAATACTATGCAATGACTGTGAGTTAGGTCAACTACATAGGTCAAACTAGTAGGTCAGGGGTAGTCAGATTATCAGAACATAAGAATTTAGCTAAGGTAAGAATGGTTGACCCCGAGAAGATAAGTAATTTAGAAAAAAGCTCAGCAATTGCAATGCATGCATTAACACACAACCACACAATAGGGTGGGAGAGGGTTAAAATTTTAAAAAGTAATATAGGTAGGTGGACAGCGAGAGAGATTGATTACTGAATCCTGGCTGTTTCATCGAGTCTACACCAAACACATGCAATAGGAATGATTCATCACTCATACCCAAAATATGGAAAATACTACTACCAATCAAATCAAGTGAAAATCAAGTGAAAAATATTGGAACCATATAAATGAAGTTAGGAAGTCGTGTGAGTACCTTGATATGATTATGAGTGGCAATAAATTGTGCTCGAAACGTGGTGGCATCAGTAAACATTACTGTATAACACTGTGAGACTTTATCAAAACAAAATTTACCCATAATGGAATGGCACTCCATCAATTCTAGTTTCTATTAGTCCCAAAGAGGCAAATGGTTATGTACTGCTGAAGAGTCCTGAACTGTAACAAAAAACAGTTGTCCTGTACTCCTCCCTGATTTCCAATTATTTTCTAGTTAATAGAGGAATCCGTGATAAGACTTGATATCAATGATATTCTCTACAAAGACTGACACTTTAAAAAGAAGTAGAAATGTTTGGAATTCTTTCAAGGGATTTTATTTACAACAACAATTAATTCACTAAAAAGACAGAAAAGACACAAATCAGATAATATCTTAATCATGCAGTGAATAAAATTCTTCATTCAGTCTTACCAAATGACTTGATGGTTTTGGGAAACGTGATGATTTCATACCGAATCCAAGAATTTTTTTACTTTCTGCATTTTCTGCTTGCTTCTTCCTTATACCCATTGGCATTGGATCCAATGGAAATTCTATTACCCTATCAATGATATCAGTACTTTTCTCTGAAATATCTTCATCATCACTAGAATCATCTAAGGTGAATGATTCATCTGAGTGGCTAGGATCTTCAGAACCCGGATAATAACGTGGTCCAATTGACTTTCGCATACGCTCAATTAATTGTTGGCTTCGTGTAGTTTGACGAGGCGGAGGTTTATGATAAACTACCATTGTTATTCTTGTGGGGATAAAAAAAAGAAAATAAATAAACAATACGGACAGTATGATATAAGTGAAACTAATGGTTCATTTCATTTGCCTTGTATTAAAATACTTTAGGCCGACCAAGAACTTATAGCCCAAAAAATATGACAAAGAAATTTGAGATGGGTCGGACACACATTGAGAAGACTGGCAGATGATATCGCATGCCAGGCATAACCTCAGTTGGGACCTAAGTAAGGAACTACAAGTTTCGTGTACAGAAGTTACATGGAGGAGATCAAAGCTTATAGTCAGTCTTTGAGTCAGCCGAAGACAACTGGAGAGAACAGGATGAAATGGAAATATTCCGTCAAAGCCGTATGTTTCACTGGGAACCCAAGGAAATAATAATAATGTATATACCTTAAACAATCTGTCATATGTAATCATAAGTAGTCATATTAATTTTATTTAGTGCTTGGTGATGACAACCAGTGGTGTCCATCAGGGATGCCCACTGTACGCATTTCTCTTTAATTTCACCGTAGGTGTACTACTAATGGAATTCATCCTAACTGACTTCACATACTTAAGGATTGACTTGCATCCAGGGAATGGTTTAGAGGATGATATAGTCCTCCTAGGTTAAGATGTTGATAAAGTTCAGAGTCTACTGAACACCTCGTGTAGCAATTATCGAATGTTTTAGGCATGCAATTTGCTCCCGACAAATATAAGATTATCAGGCTAAAGGAATGGACTACATTGACTGACTCCAAGCTTAAATATAGGGAGTTAACTGGCAGAGAGGGCTGACCACCTCACAAATTTAAAAAGTTGCATCAGCCTCAATGGGCTGACTGCTGACGAAATCTCAACATGGATACAAAAGTCACCTTTAGCATTTGCTAACTTACGTCATCTCTGGGACAGACATTCTACCTGCTATAGATTAATGGACTTGTGTACTCCTCACCATTTCTCTCTGTTTTCGTTTATGGCTGCAAGACATGGCCATTGAAAGTGGAAAACATAAAAAGGTAATCTCTACCTTATCCCATGTCAAGTGATATGATGCTGTGACTAATACTGAGGTTAGGTGTTGAGGGTTAGATGAGGAGAGGAAGTCAAGTGGCGAGGTTGTGAAGCTTCACTGACTGATATGGTAACTCGAACTGCTGCAGTTCTTTGCAAACTTTTATGTTGAAAGCAGTCAGTCGTATATAAAGCTGAAACTGCTTCATCTGTTGTTGATATGGTGTCTTCATTTTGTTGTCGTTTTTTTTCTCATCATAATAAGAGTGGAACATTTTGGGCTGAAGAATAATACAACAGGACCCAGGTCATTTTCCTTTTGTTTCCCCAATATTCAAAATAATCATTTTCAAAATGAGATACCAGCAAGCAGAATGAATTTTTATCGTTCCTATCAAACCTGAGTATGTGTTCTATTCATAGAATGTTTCAGTAAAGTATACATGAAATTTAATTCCGCAGTTCATTTCATTGAAACATTTGTTTTACCTTTCGATTCTCTTATGAATTATTGTTTCAGTGATACTGTAGTAATGAATCTTTACAAGGGACCAGAAGTTATATCCACTTATTTGGTCTAATGGAAAGTGATTGATTTACGTATAAATTACTATTATTATTATTATTATCATTGTTATTCCAATGGGTTCCAAGTGGAACATAGGGCTTCAGCGGAAGATCTCTGTTTCATCCTTTTCTCTTCAGCCGCCTTTACTTGGCTCCATGATTGCCCATAGGCTTCTGTCTCCTCCACATCACCTTCGACGCAAAGCCCAACTCGTCGGTTTCCATTTTGGTTCCTTTTGAGAAATGGCCTGGTGTGTTATATCGCTCAATGGTCTCTTCAGAGTCGTTTTAATCTATCTTTATTTCCAAAGTCATATTTTTTATCAATAGGTCCTTGATTGGTTCCCGAAGTTTCTTCTCTCCAGCCCTCTGATCCTCGGTATAGAGCCAATGAAAGCAGCTGCTGATAAAAGGCTGCAGTAGTCCGTTGGAAATGCTATTCGCAACGCGTTCTCCTAGTTTCTGACCCATATAGAAGAGCTGACTGGCTTAACATTGGTATTGGAAATCCGAAATTCTGTTGTTTGTGCTAAGTTCACAAGATTTCCAAACTGATTTCAGAGTAATGAATGTCTGTCCTCTTGCCTTTCCAATGCTGGACAGCTTTAACGTTCTCATCCGTGCCGGTCACTTGTCACCAAAACGATCCTGACTAGATAAGTGAAAGAAATGAGGTCTTTCATTTCTTCCGTTGATAGTGATTGGTGTTTGCTGTTGTTGACAGATTATTCTCATCACCTCCACTTTCTGTACGTTCACTTGAAGTCCCGTCTTCGCTGCTTCTTCTTCCAAATTTTTGGTTTTTGCTCGTAGGTCTTCGTGTTTGTGTAACACTAGAAATAAATTGTCCTCGAGGTAGAGATCTTCCAGAGTTTTCTTATCTTATCTTGCATAATCCAGTCCACCAAAGTTAGGAATACAATCCTAGGTGATAACAGACTCCTGTCTTTGCTTCAAAGGCTTGACTGAGTTTCCTATTGTGGATCACTTCACACCTGGCCTTGTTATATAGCTGAATCGATAAAACACCTTGTTGCAGTCTATTATTATAACATATCTGAGAAGTTGTGTAGACTGGTACCATCCTCCATTCAAGATTTTCAACCACATTTATACACTTTTGGCATTTAAATCCGCATTATCCCTTTCTAAAGTCAGTACAAATTAAGGAACTCCTAAGTTCACGGTTATTCTTGCCCTATTTCTATTGATAGTCAAACAGATTTGTAAAATTTGTCTGTCCGTCTGTTTTTGACATAGAACTTTACACATATGTGCGGAAGTTCAAGTCGCCACATTTCATGTAGCACACAAAGCAACAGAAGAAAGTAGAAGAAATGCATAATAGAGACAGTAAACAGAGGTGTGAGACAAAGGAATAGTAGTAACGAAGAACAAAATAGTTTCATTGGAAATCATAAGTCACAAGGAGTGGATGCATCTGCGTCAGTCATTGACAACGACGATTTTGAGCCATGTCACCAATTGTTTCCAACCATTGGTTTTTACAGTCCCGAGGACCCCAACGAGGAAGTCTACATCTTTCTACGTGGCTTAGACTAACTGTTGTAGATTTCATTGACTGATGTCATGTTTTGGTTTGACCATCGCTAGCTCTTTTCCAGCCTGACCCTATATCAGATAACATTGCTCGTCGAGGAAGGCGATGACTTGGCATACGTAACACATGTCCTAACCATCTCAGTCTATATAACTTCACAACTTCGTCGATTGATTTCCCCCGCTTACCTAGAACTCGACGCCTAACCTCTATATTGCTCACCTTATTATACCACTTCACATGGGAGACAGAACGCAGGCGCCTATGATCAAAGACAGCTAATCTTCTCATGTCTTCCACTCTCAATGGCCAGGTCTCACAGCCATAAAGGAGGACGGAGCAGACTGATGAGCAGTACACCCGCCCTTTGGTCGATAGTCGGATATCTCTGTAAAATTTGTAAATAACCAGTAAGGTTTATATATATATATATGAAGGAGGTTTATAAATCGTCATTCAGGCTTGTCTACAGTATTTTATAAGAAAATACTTTTTTATTTTATTTTTTATTTTGATTATAGCTTGATCCCACCCCGTATTCTTCTTACACTTATGGAATTTTCACTATGTGATATCGGTAGCCCAAATTTTGCAGACCGACCATTGATATCATTGTGCGCGTTGTCAGGGCATCGACCCCCGGATCATATGCATGGTCGGCGAGAGTTCTAACCTAACCATCTATAAGATTTCAAGAAGTGAATTCGTGGAATACATCTACATTATTCTACAGAAAAATATACATCTGACATTGACATAAATTACACTTCCTCTTCCGACCATTCATACTCATATAAATTAATGAGTGTAAAAAGAACCTTTAATCGATCAGCAGATTTTCTCAATTACAGACTGTCGTCAGACTAACAATATTTTTATACAAGTGACTAGAACAAAAAGACTCGATGTAGCCATGATAAGTTGTGCACAAGTGAACAGACGTAATTAGCGTGAGAAACTACTCTTTCATTTAACTTTATTTCTCCCACGCTATATTGTTATTGTATAAAGAAATACAACGAGAGAGTTTTATTGATAAATAGAGAAAAGACAAAGTATTTACTAAAGAACAATTTTCAAATAACTTAAGTAGCAAAAATATTCTGTTCAATCCTTATTTTTTAACTTTAAAAAATGATATTGTTACTATTATTATTTCAAACAATTAGTTCCGTTTATGAATTTAGACAAAGTAATAAGAAGACGTAATTTGTCTGAATCGTTTATCAGGAGATATAAAGTAGTCAGAACACCAAGACCCATTCTCCAACTCACAACTGACAAAGATGTGTGCATCAAGCTACCCTAGATTATGGGTGATCATAGCAGCTTGATAACTAGACAAAGATTGAACGCTGCTGTAAAAAAGACTTTTTATGCAGCTAATATCATAATAATTCAGAATGTGAAGCCAATATATCTATCTATCTAAGCCCTTACAACATACGAAAAATGTCACATTCCACTGTATTTACCAGTTTGAATATAAGTGTGACCACATATGCATAGCGAGGACTCATCGGTCTCTGCAAGTAACAGTTGGCTTCAGAGCATATTTCTAAATGGCTTCAGAAGCAAACAGAATCCCCAGAACTCATTAATGGTGAGAACTGGAGGCCTAGCTCCTCTATTGCGAAGCATATTACGGAGAAGACAGGACATGAAATTGATTTTTACACACCTTTTAAACCTATCAAAAGAACGTGTTTGGGGCGTATCATAAAGTTTGTGCAAGCATTAGCTGGCAATTAGGAAGTTTACATCACCTATATGTGATCAAAGCAATAATTCGTCATCACACTAAACCACCTTCCTTGGTAAACTTTGTTTTGATACCAGCCAGGGTAGATATACTATTGATTACCTCTCTTATTTGGTTTAGGGACATAGTGAACTATGTCCGTTTAACTTGACCTAGGCCTGTTTTCTCACCTCTTAACTCTACTAATTTCATATATATTCCTATGAGAAGTCCCTGTGTGATCAGATTGTTCAAAATGGGTTGCACAAATACGCATTACACCATTCAGACAAATTACGTCTTCTTACTGCTTTGTCTAAACTCTTATCATTGTTTCACAAATGTTGTCTGTTTCTCAAGAGTTGCTTCGATGGGGAGAAAATTTGCATAAAACCACACACTACTGATTGATTGATTGATTGATTAAGATGAGTAGTTGTGTGCCATTCATGCATTAACCAGTGGTATTTGCTAGCCCGACAAATAGAGGTGATCTAACCACCGCTTAACGGCTATTTCGGTCATTTGGAGCCCAGATTACCAGTCGCGTACCCGGTCGGTTGGACCCTTAGAACTCTGTATACTGGAAATTGCTAACTAATTTACAAATTGTTAATTTGATTTTCGGTTTGAAAGGATTTGATTCTTTATGATTGGCTATTTATACAATAATTATATTGGTGAAATCTCAGAGATAATGACAAGACATTACGGTGTTCATTTTGTATAAGGTGATTCAGTATTAAACATCGTTATAATTCAAAGGGTAATAATAATGATAATAACATTAATTCTTTTAGATTATGGATTTTTCTAGGGATTTGAAATCACTTCAATACAGATTTCGTCAAGAACCAATATCAGTTAGAGAGAACACTGGAAACCAGCAAACATTCGACGGCTGTCTCGTCCTAGTTTGGAGCTCTCTGGCAACACACACCCATGACCTTACTAGGGATCGAACTTGGGACCTTCATGTAACAGAACCAACCACGTTGACCATCCAGCCACTTGGGCCCATAATCTAAATGTTAATCTCTAGATCATTCATAGGTACTGGATAGATTCTCTGAAGATGTACTGAGAAGCCTTCATCGGTGAGGTTCACCATGCCTAGATGGAGTGAATACTAATCGAAATCACTGCTGAAAAAGGAGCTGTATCACGAAATGAAAGAGTTATCGAACTCCAGCCTAAGGAAATGAATCATCAAAGAGTTTCACCTCATAACCTGAAGGTCCTGAGTTCGCTACCTAGCATAGTCGTCAGTGTGCACTGCTGACTAGTCCCAAACTAGAACGAAACAGATGTCCAGTGCCTCCTGGTTTTCAATGATATCTCTGACTTATGTTAGTTTGTAACGAAATCTACACTTATAATAATAACAATATTTCAACTGGATAGCTTTTGATATAAATACAAATATACGTTATATACATGAGTGATCTACTTACCTTTTTGGCTTATTCTTGGTTTTAATTCTTTCAGATTCTAACACTTAGCAGACTTACTGACGGGAATGTGTACTTCACTCAAAACTAAAAGCAGAAAATTAAAATAAAACAGTTATTGTTTTCACTTTTATATCCAAAAGTTACATGGATGCCTTGGCTGAAAATCTGAATACTTTCGTGTTTGACCATGGAGTGATATCATTTAGAGAATTATTGGGAACCATGGACTATTGGTGGTCATCGGTGACGCAGCCGTAGAATGCTCGCCAACCACGCATAAGGTCCGGAGATCGATCCTCTGTCAACGAACTCCTAACCCTCCACTAGCCGGTAGTAGATCCAGTAAAGAAGGATGTTTGGGCTTAAGGCTATCAACCCCACCGCGTAAATATAAAACCACTGCTACAGAAACTTCAAAAAGCTCTTGCCTGAGGCTTTATGTTCCACTCGGAATGTAAAGCAATACAAAAAGAAAAAAATGGAGTATTGGACAGCTACTTTGTCCTAATTTGCTACTATCCAACAGTACGCGTCCATGATCGATTCCATCAAGGATTGAGCCAAGGACTTTCAGGTTATAAAAGGCAAGATCATTAACCATTCAACCACAGAGATATAGCTAAATGCCCCATGAATTTTGACTTCTATCGATTCACGCTTTTTTAGCACCACATCCAAGATAGCCTTGAAATGGTAGACTCAATGATGTAATCATTTATTGAAAATGGAATTCAAATCTGGTTTGCAGCAGGACTTCAACTTACTAATCCGACCCTCTTCTTGCCGAACTACAAGACGCCAGTGTTCATTTGGGTCGTCATTTCACTTCAGTTACCACGACTAAAAACAGTTTAAATGGTGAAAGTTATATATGATAAGTGATGAATTCACTTTGTTTTATTTGGACGTCTGCTGAAAAATCTAGGCTTATATCTTATCGACATATGCTGCTTCTAAAATGAATTTAGGCAGTCTTTCACATTCAAACAATGTTTTTCTTATTTTATTCCTTTGCGATTCGATTAGAACATAGGACTTCAAGCTTCAGCTTCGAAGTTTCAGTAAATTTGGTGTTATTTTGCAAGACATGTGGTTGCTAGCCTCACGTACACTCTTCCCTCTCTAGCAATTCCGCTACCGGCCAGAAGAGGTTTAAGACTGCGTCGACTGATGATCAAATCCCAGGCAACATGCTTGATCGAGGAGTATTCTACCACCGAAACACCGATGCACCATATTCCTATAACATAATAGATAATATGAAGTATATTAAAGTTATATTCTGTCATGAAATGTCTTCATTTAGAGTACCACTTAAAGCTAGAGAGTACTCTGATCTTCACGTGAACTCAAGGTCCTAGATTCTCTCTCCAGTATTAACCGCTAAAGGGTCTGAAACTACGATAAAACAACTGTTGAGTACGTAACAATGTGATTGTACACTTTTTAGGTACTTGTATAAATTCGAGATATTGTACATAATTTTTGTTTAAATCGCTTCTTGTTGAAATATAAATAATTTCTGTGTACGATTGAAAGAAATACACTCGGCTGTTGGAGACTTCGTCTTCTCCCTGGTCACCTCTACTTGCTTGCTCCACTCACACCGTGTTGTAACTTTGGATTTATTGTAGGAGCATACTACTTTCATCCGAAGACATTTCTACAACCGGGACACAGCAGCTACAGCAGACGCAGTCCCAACAGTTAACGTGCCTGTGGATTATATAATTAATTTGTAGCCGAGGACTTACACTTTATAACCAAGTAATCCTTTTTGTTGCTATAACTCGTCACTGTATTTTTGGTAATATATTGTGATTTAACACTCCACTGACTTGGATTATTACTTTTATACTTGGAATGTTAGTGAACTCTAATATTAGTCCCCTACAAATTAATTGGTGAGCCCGATAAGAACACGGATTATTTTGGCATATTTATATTCTTATTTTTGCTTTTTTTTATATTCATTGTGATTTTGTGTGTGGTTTATATTTGTATCCTAATTTGCACCAATAACCTCATATTAATAATGTCATCACCTCAGTCCGGTACATCAAACGAGCAGACAACTAATAGCGAGACAAATGCCACAATAAATGCCATCACTGTTTTTCGTTTAGACATTATCATCATGACCGTTAGTATTTCGTCGTAAACTTTGATGTTACTATCACTATTATTTATTTATATGTACCTCACCAAAAAAACAGGTAGTGTCCTTTCCAAAAACTGCTGATCTTTAATCCATATTTTTTTTTAATGTTTCTTTCCCCTCCTTAATTACTGTGTATTTACATATTTTTCTTTATACATTAAAAATCTATGTTCATGGTTAGTGCAAATTTAAGTGACATGACTTTCTATTTCAATTTTTATTGCAGAACTCATTGTATATGCTTTCAGACTTTACATGATTCACATACCTTCTCGCGTTTATGCATGTTGTAATATAGCCCTATTTTTATCCAAAAGTTGCTATTACTGTTATTACTTACTTCATAGTTTTACGTATCATTTTCCGGTTGTCTCTCCGGACCTCTAGGGGGGGAGCCGTGTTGAGTACGTAACAATGTGATTGTACACTTTTTAGGTACTTGTATAAATTCGAGATATTGTACATAATTTTTGTTTAAATCGCTTCTTGTTGAAATATAAATAATTTCCGTGTACGATTGAAAGAAATACACTCGGCTGTTGGAGACTTCGTCTTCTCCCTGGTCACCTCTACTTGCTTGCTCCACTCACACCGTGTTGTAACTTTGGATTTATTGTAGGAGCATACTACTTTCATCCGAAGACATTTCTACAACCGGGACACAGCAGCTACAGCAGACGCAGTCCCAACAGTTAACGTGCCTGTGGATTATATAATTAATTTGTAGCCGAGGACTTACACTTTATAACCAAGTAATCCTTTTTGTTGCTATAACTCGTCACTGTATTTTTGGTAATATATTGTGATTTAACACTCCACTGACTTGGATTATTACTTTTATACTTGGAATGTTAGTGAACTCTAATATTAGTCCCCTACACAACTAATCAGTACTCTCTTGTTTCTAATAGTCCTCTAAATAATGTGTTAATTAAGGCTTGATAAAATCAGTAAAATTCCTACAAGCCAACACTTGATGAACAAGTTATTTTTATTATTTTAGGGTATACGAATAAGCTCATGCATCCACATTTTGCATAAAAGACATTTCCCATGAGTACTTCATACTCTAATTTTCTTTTTACATTATAAAACAATGAAAGACAGCTACTAAAACAACAATAAAAAGGTTTTATCAGCAGAATTTGTACTTTTCTTGTGGTTGTTGACTAGCAATAGAGGAATTCAATGATGCGTATTCCGTCCTATATGGCACTCTTCAGGTGGATATGTCTGCAAGTGAGTGATGTCATCATTCCCACTAAGGATCGCAGGTATATTCCACTGCCAAATTACAAATAAGACGAAATGCGAATCACAGATTCCACTACTAGTCACCAGCCATCAAAATTACTTTATGTTAATCATCGGACATCGTAGAAATATTCGTACCAAGAGCTGACATTTCAGTAGAGGCCTAAAATGCTGGTTCAGCAAAATTACCTTCCTGCAGTTATTTTGTAGGAATGCGATTTGTTTCAAGTTTGACCACGGATTGATATCGGTAGAAGAACCAGTGAAAACCATCAGGGAATACTGGACGGCTGTTTAGTCCCAGTTTGGGACCCATCAGCAGTATGCATACACTGCAGTTCGAACTCAGCACCTTCCGGTTACGAAGCGACCTCGCAGACCATTCAGTCACTGGGAATGGTTTTACTGACCTATAAATCAAATCCCTACAAACTAATGCTTGAAAATTAAACTCGTGCTCACCTGTAATTGACTACTTAACGAAGTTGACTGGTGTTCTAGTGTGTAATCGTGACCAGAGGGGTACGTCAGGTAGCGAGTGGGTACAGATACTCCCCGATGACATAATGTGATAGTCCCATTAAATTAACCATTTCGTAGAAGTTATAATTCATGGTCCACTAATGTCAAGTGTTGGACAAAGAGCCCCAGACTAACACGAATTAGCAGTCCTGTACTCCCTCGTGGTTTTCAGTGATTCTCTAATGGATACCAACTCGTGGTCAAACTTGAAAATTAACTTAAACAAAGAATAGTTTTCCATTCAGTAAAACTAGGCTTGAACATTATATTCATATTGACATTATCAGAGGTTTTATGCGCCTCATGTGACCTGATCATATTATCCTGCACCAAAGTGTTCTTGTTACTTGGTTCAAATTTATCATTGAGGAAGGAATAATTGTATGAAATTACATCACTCTTTTATAAAAGGCTTATTAACTGCGCTAGTGTGATTCAAAATGATTTCTTTTTTAATGAATACACTAAAAGTTTTTTTAATATGTTAATAGATTTCTGCTTTGTAAATAAGTGAATTAGAGTAACAGCACACAACGTAAAGGCGCGTTAGACGGTTGGAGGCAGCCGATAGGAAGCTTTGGAGCTAGGTTTTGTTCAACCTTGAATGGAATCATTTCTCTTCTAAGAATCAATCATGAAACCAAATAGCTCAATGGTGATAGCTCTTACTGCAGCACATTGGGTGAGCACTACAATGGCTAGCTGCCAAGTTTAATGACCACATCACAAACTAGACTGATAGAATCCAGTCATCAACAACAACAACAAGGACTAGACGCGCATGATAGCAGTTATTTGCTAGGCACTAATCGGTGAAATGTAAAGGTATAATTATAATATTTTATATAATACAACCTTTATATATTTGGAGTTTAGTATCTCTATATAACGAAGTTATGTACACCTCATATTCAACGCAGGCACCATTTGCAAAGATCTTCCGTATTGTGCTACTTCTGGCCTTCCGTCATATTGTGTTTCTCCGTGTTCCTTTCATGTCTCCCATGTATCTCAGCAAAGCTGTATCATTTACTTTCTCTGACATTAAATCTATTTCCCTCCTATTTGATTTTTTATGCCGATGATCGTCTCTTTATATG